GAGAAAGGATCTGCATTCCTCACCGATCATTGCCTTTCTTCTATTATTGAAAATACAATCATAAGATTTTGTCTTTTTCTTTTTTTTTTTTTGTTAATTTGATTTCTTATTTTATTTGCAAATTTAATCATTGATTATAAACGTAGACATTATTTTTATTTTGTTTCGTTTCATTTTTCAAAATTGAAGATTAGATTATAAGAGTTGATGGATATTTTGTTGAGTAATTTTTGGAGGATTTTTTTTCTTTTTCTTTTTAAATGCAAAATATTTCTTATAGAAAAAAAAAAAAAAAAACAATTTATGAAGACTTCATCTTCTTCTTCTTCTTCTTCTTCTTCTTCTTCTTCTTCTTCTTCTTCTTCTTCTTCTTCTTCTTTCCTTTTCCCTTTCATTTAGGTGCATGGTACAACACAAGAACAGGTTGAAAACATTTGTTATCTTATTTCTAATATATTCGTAATTGCACAAATATTTTTCCTATTGTGTGTAACATAAATATAGAAATATTAAAAGATATGTGTGTGTGTGTAATGATCGAAAGCTTAAGAAAATTCGAATTTACTTTTGTATTCCATTTTTTTTCTTTTTCGTTGATTTTCTTCAAATAAAAGAGCTAAGTATTTTCCATTAGCTCAAATGATTATAAAAATTATGATGAACTTTCTACTATGTAAATACACATACGTGTCAACGTATATATACATATATTATAAGTGTACATATATATAATGCAAAACGAAAGAGAACGAGAGAGAGAGAGAGAGAGAGAGAGAGAGAAAATGCACCGAGTGACAAGGCACGTTGCACGTTTGTTAAGAAAAAAAAATAATAATAATAAAAAAATCAAATCATTTGTAAACTAGGAAGAAGACATTTATATAAACAAACAAATCGTCTTTCCCCTTTATTTTTCATCTGATATTTTCTTCTTCTTCTTCTTCTTCTTCTTAATTTTCTCATCTTTATAAAAAAAAAAAAAAAAGGAAAAATCAATAAGCTCGATTAAACGAAATAAAATAAAAATATTTATAATAAAACTTCGTTAAGAGTAAATGTGAAGAAAAGAAATAAAAAAAAACCGAAACGTGAGATAATAAAAAAAAAAAATAAAAATCAAATAAATTCATTATCAATCTTTTTGTTTCCACAAACCAACAATAATAATTTATTATAATTATTGATTATGGCGTATTACTTTCATAATTCGTCAATGCATTTTTATCATAGTTGTTTCAAATGACAAGTATTTAAAATTAAAATGTTATGCCATTTCAGCAGTTATAAATATATATATATATATATATATGCATGATTATTTTTTTATATTATTGAATCTCATTTTACGCAATTTTCTTTTCTCGATAAGTTTTATCTTATGTTATGAATAAAAGTCATACAAAAAAATTGTTTAAATATAATATTATTGTAATAATATTATATAATATTATATTATAATTATATTATTATTATATAATATATATATATATATATATAATATTGTATATAATAATATTATAGAAAATTCAATATGGCTGTTCAATTAAGTCATTTATTTAAATCAAATTAATTTATTTGCGAGGTTAATTTATTTACGACTTAAAATGAAATTTATATTTTCTCAGGTCATTAAAAATTAAAAGTAGTCTTTTACGTAAGTTGATTCCCAAATGTTTTTGCAATTATTAGCATTGTCCTTTCGTCGTTTATGCAAATCTACTTTTATATGCAATAACTCATTTATAATTTACTATTTTAATACGTAATAAGGATGAAATGAATAACTAATATTTTACTTTTTAACAAATGTCGCAATAAATAGAAGCTATTATACAATGGCGTTCGATAATTAAAGACTTAACAAGTATACATAATTTAACAAAAACTTTCCGAAGACTTTTTTTAAATCAATTCTTTTATTGTTGTTACTTTTTTTTTTGTTCTTTTTAATTCCAATAATAATAATATAATAATAATAATATATATATAAATTTGCATAATCGAATTTTACTTATTTTATTTTTTTTTTTTTTCCCCCTTATCGCAGTAATTATTATTTCAAGTATTTTACTCAAGGTAAATGTTGCAATTTAAAATATGTTAAAAATTTTACGAATTCAATATTTCAGCGTTAATGACTCCCATAATCGTTTTAAAACGTTTTAAATACATTTTTAAAAATATAGATATATTATAGAAATAATTATCCTTGTCCAAATGTTTAAACATATATTTAAGATAAATATGTGTTACTTACAAAAATATTATCTTGTTAAAGTATTTAAAAAAAAAACACGAAATGACGTAAATGAAAATTGAACAAAAGATATTATTTCATTTGACAATGTCACTTAAAGAATTTATATAGATATATAAATGTTGAATATTCTCACGTTTTTAAATATAATTTTAATCTTTTTTTCCACTTTTTTTTAAAATCATACATCGATAGACATTTATTTGAATAATTTAAAATAGCATGCTAATTTCATTTGACTACTACGTAAGTATACTTTACGACATATATATGTATATACGTCGTAACATGATTTGTGAAGAGACAAAGATTAATCTTACGTTTTCTATACTATTACAAAACTTAATGGAAAAAAAAAGTAATTCCAACAGAGATGTAAATTATGACGTTAACAAAAAAATATCTATAAAAAGTCCCAGAGTATTTTTGCGTTTACAATTTGATCACCATATTTCTAAAATAAAATTAAAAAAAAAATATATTTATCCGAACGTGTCGAATCTAAAATGATTTATTAAAAACTTGTAACAAAAATATGAAATAATAACAAAAACAATATTTCGTCATCGAACGGTATACATTGCCAATTCTATTTAAAGAAACGAATACAAAAACAAACATAAAAAAAAATAATATATATTTATTTTTTTATCATTTTGAAATTGTTGAATATTTTCTATTGAATGATGTAGTGTTTCTTTTACAATTAATAATTATACTTATAGTAACCCATATAAGTAACCCATTCAAAAAAAAATAATCGGTTAAGTAAAAGATACCAATTGTGTCAGTAATGATGACAGTAGGCTAAATGTTATCAAATTGACAAAATAAATTCGTAAATTGTTTAAATTTGATCCTTATTATAATTATCAGCATAATTGTATGGGCCAAAAGGTATAAAAAAAATAAATAGAAATTTCGTAACACGCGACTATTTCCTGTTACCTATTTACGCGCGAGTCATATTTTTAGAATACAAAATAATGCTGGAAGTATTTATTAATATTTTTTATTAAAAATTTATAATAAAATGCATGTATATAATAATGTAGATAAATTTATTAGAATAATGTGATATTACAAATGGTAACAGACAAATAATAAAAATAGTCGATATTTTATGGTTTTTTTTTGTTTATAACAATTTTGTTAAATTCATCTGACACGTGAACGCGTTTGTCTAGTTTACTTTTTATGTTGTTATATTTTATTTATAGTTTAACGAAGAGAAAGGAAAAATATTGGTATACCTAAACCAAACAAAAAGAACAAAAAATTAAAATGATTAGATAAAATGTACATAAATATAAATCATTTTTGTAAATTTCGAAGAATGAAGAAATGGTTTCTTGGAAAACAAATTGTCAAGAAATTTGTTGCATTTTGAAAAAGATCATTGTACTTGGAATATTTTAAATATTAAAAAATAAATTTGATAGTGTAAGTTCATTGATTACTAAACTATTGAAACTTATTATATACACACATACACACAAACACACAAACACACATATACAAATACATTAGGCATTAGTAAATAAAATAAGTTAGATCGTTTATTGTGATCCGTCTGAGCCGATGCGTCGTTGTAATGCGTTTAGTATAGTTAATCGCATCGTCTACTTGTAGTCACTACCGAAGCCATTCATGAACATTAACACCCACATTAACACACCAAAGAGAAACTGAAAGAGTATATATATATATATGTGTACGTGCCTAAGTTTGTTGGATTGATCGACCTTAAAGTTCTTGGACTTGAATTTTTACGTAGATATACGTGTAACTATTCATTACATAGAAAACTATACCATGATTTTTCAATGTGGGTCGTGATCCCGTATTGAATCACCTAAATAAAATTTAAGGGTTGTAGAAATTGTAGAAAAATGAACAATTATTTTCTTCGTCCAATGAACGAAAATTAATTCGAAATTAGCTTGCCAATACTATAGTATGTCAACGAGTGTATAATAATGAAAGAAAAGATAATATAGTCAGTCCAATGTTCAGAGTCGTGAAAATATTTACTCAGGTAAAATGAGGCCGTCGAGTGGAAAAGTTTGGAAAGCTCTGAACTGTAGAATGGTTCATAGGTGATTTTAAATATTAATTAGAATTTTTTGTTTATCTCTAATTCTTTGTGGAAGTCTAATTTATTTCTTTTCATTTATAAGTAATTTTAATATTTAATATTTTTCGATACAAAAATATCATAAAGATAATGAGGTCTTATTAATTTTGTTTTGTTTTATGCTGAAATTACGAACCTAAGAAATGTTAATTAATCTTATGTGGTAGTTACATTTTAGGAAAGAAAAAATAAATAAAAATTAGCCATATATATACTTGAAATTATATTTCAATGAGAAATAAAAAGAAATATTTAATATAATTATGACTTTAAATAATATATAGGATTTATAATATCAAGATAAATGTGATTTAAAAAAATTTCGGCATTAATATAAAGTAACAGTATTACCGACATGTGAATGTAAGGTCATTGCACGTATGACCCATTTAAAAATAACTGAACACTTTTCGGCTCCATTAGTTAATCTAAATAATCGCTTATTAATTAAAACGTATATATATATATATAATTAGTACAAATTTGTAAATGTGTATCATTTTGATAAAATTTAATATTTGTTTTCATAAATAACATAAAAATACGCTTTTTCATTCATTTTATTTTCATTTCTTAAAGATTATTTCTTTAGTTCTTTTTATAAATATATACAATTATACTTTAATAAAAAAAAAAAATTATTGAAATTGTTCATTTATCGTATTTTTAACTTTCAGTTATTTAACTATAGTTAGTAGAGTTTAGGTATAGTCTTTATAGTATATTATATCACTTTGTACAATATTCTTCTAACGTTACAAATTCAATTTGCTAAATAAACATAGAGTACTTCTCAGTCCTATAAACAGAAACAAAAAAAACAAATGAATAATTAGTAATTATTATTATATAAATTAATTTTTGAACATTTTTAATATACATTTTTTATTATTTCAATTATTTTCGCACCTTCTTTTTACCCCAATCTTCTGCAATATATGTAAGAAGATCAGTTAAACCTTCAAACTCTGTTCTACTTTGTGGTGGATCATTTTTAGGAATCTTAGGCAATATTGATCCCATTTTGTATCTAAATTCTTGAGCATTACTTGCACCTGACAACTTCCATATACCATAAAATAAAAGACCACATCCTGTTACTGCATAAAATGTACCCCAACCAAGCGCTCTGAATGCCAAGGAAACTCCAGTTTCATGTAGTCTTCTCGATCCACCTAGTCCTTCATTGAAATATTTTGGATCTTTTTTCTTTGCTGAGGCTAGTGTTGTACCAAAACCGATAAGTGCAGACAAACCGGTGACACTACTTAAGAAAATTGCTGCTATACTTGTAACATAATAAATATTATTTAAATGAGAATATTTATATTAATAAAGTTTCAAAGAATTAAATACAAGTTTTATTGATTACAATAACAAAATCAACAATAATTTTAAATGGTTTAGCAAGATCATGATTGTATAAGATTTTCTATTTACATATAAATAGTTAGAAATTAATTGAAATAAATAATAATGACTTAAACGTACCGTAAAATTTTTCTTTTTCTTTCTCGATATCCTTGGTTAACGTTATCACTTCTTTCTTTGATTGTTCAATTATATCAGTCTCGCGTGAAAACATAACCTCAGAATCGGTAGCCATTTTTAAATATTCCGCTACATGTTTCTATTAAATTCGTGTTGAATAATTCCAAGAATTAATTGAGATGTCGCTTTCATCGCATGCATTGGCGTATATAATATGTACAATTAAATCATAACCTTGTTTATCAAAATCAAAATGTATTTAATTTAAATGAATTTGATAAAGATTTCATTGAATAAAATTAGATTGTGTCTCGTATTATACTTACATCGATCATGCAATTAATTTTATTCAATTAAATATTAACATCTACGCAAGTTTATACGTAGTATTATTTCTAATTTGAATAAACAAGAGAAGAAAAGAAAAACAAGAACATTTTAATAAAATCATTAATATTTCAGTAAGTTTTGGTAAATTTGTATTTATTAAGTTTAAAAAACTATATTTGTTTGGTATCCCTGTATACGTAACTATCAAATGTGTATTGTGTTGCAGTTGTAAGTTATAATGTCTTTAGATCAAACTGTGTGCGAAGGTAAATATAAATAAACTTTAACAGTTAAGTAATAAAACATTTAATGATAAATTTAAAAAACACATTAGATCATGGACGATTAATTAGAATAATAAAAATTACATTTCATAGACTCTCCATTTTTAGATTTAAAGGCGTTTGAGAGACGCCTCACTGAGGTTATCGCAAGCTTACAACCGGCAACTCTACGATGGAGGAGTACGTTTTATTTCAATTATTTCCATTACGTATAAATGATTTTATTTTTTATATTAATTATGAAAAATATTTACATATATAACAAATGTTTTAATTGATCATTGTTAAATAATAAAAATCATTTACAGTGTTGTTAGGTTTTATCTCAGTTTGCACTGCTGTTGGTGCTTGGCATTGGTTGACAGATCCAAATACATCAGCTGTATCTTTTACTCAAAGTCTTTATAATCATCCATTCTTTACGACTGCTAGTATTATATTAGGTAAGAAAATAAATGAAATATGTTACATCGATGTTATTCTAACATCTTGTTTCAAATTTTAGTAATATTATTCATGATGGGAGTACATAGACGTGTCATAGCACCGAGTATTATTACACAAAGAGCGAGAAGCGTATTAGGTGATTTCAATATGAGTTGTGATGATACAGGAAAGCTTATTCTTAAACCTAAAAGACCTGCCCATCCACATGAAACTTAAAAAAGACAATGTGTGTGTGTATACATTGTGTATATATTAAGTTATAAGATCTTCGCAAATGCCTGGATTGCTACATAGGGTGTCCAAAAAGGAATGTATATGTATATCGAAGATATTTTTATATAACAATAAGTATATAATTTGATTCATTCAATATTTTGTTTCTTCCGCATAATATAAAGCAGAGGTATATAGTACAAAATTAAAACCGTTCGAGAATTTGTATACGTTGGGATCATGCATAAGGCATATGATCAAATGTTATATTTGATACAATTTTTACGTTTAAAATACCTTTTTTTATTACATAATATTTATAAGGTAAATAGATCAATCGCTCGACGAATAATCTAAAAATCATAAAAAGCATATATATTTTTGCTACTATAATTGGAGAAAATAAATATATCTATTTTCTAAGTCCACGCATACATTCGTTCTGAACGTTTCAAAGAAATTTACCATTTCGTAAATTCTTTGTATCGAGAATTAAATATTGAATTATCGATAATATTTCAAATTAAGTTGTTCTTGTTGATTTTTAAATAGACAAATTTAAAAATTACACCGACGACGATGTTTAAATCGTATTTATTAAGTTTTAAGTTAATTGTGTATTGATTTATATTAGCAATTTTCTATACGACAAATATCTTTGCGAAGTCATAACTAAAAACGATTAACTGTAATTATTTTTGTTTTTTGTACATATTGTATAACATTTTAGAAAATTTTTAGAGTTAGATATAATGAAGTATTTAATTTCTATTGTTAACGATTTTGAAAAGAAAATATCTATTGATTATCACTTAAATGTATCGACGTATTTCTACTTCCTCTTGTAACTTTAATATAAAGACATTTTGACTTAATATTCTAAACGCATGTGTATATAATAGTCTTTATATACTTCCATATTTTAGTTAAGAATTAATGGGTTTGTTTATACCGTGACGTCGTCAACACTTTTTTTAAATGCTAAATGATTTAAAAAGTGCAAAATGAATTAATCGTCGTTGTAATCGATATATACGTATATATATATATTAATATTAATATAATTATAATATTAATTATATTAATAATTAATATTATTACAATTATAAAATTGTATAATATCTTTGATAAGATTTTGAAAAAAAGGATAACTAATTATATTATATTATTTTGTTTATGTATTNTATACGTATATATATATATTAATATTAATATAATTATAATATTAATTATATTAATAATTAATATTATTACAATTATAATTAATTAATTAATTATAATTATAATATATATTTATATATATATTATAAATTAATATTAATTATAATATTATATATTAATATTAATTATATAATATTATATATTAATATTATACATAATATTCCTTTACGTTATCAAAAAATTGTAATAGTTATTCAAATATTTAATTAGACGAAAGTTTCTTTTAAACAAGCCCATATATATATATTCTATAATTTGTACAAAAAGCTAAAGTTACAAATATGTAAAAATAAAACTACTATCTAATCTAATTTGTATTGAATATTTTTCTTATTATACTCCTCAATTTTAATTCCTAAGAAATATTACATAATGGTATATGTAAAACTTTATGAATTTAACTATTAATCAACTCAACAAGCGATAACGTTCAAAACATTTATTCATATTTAATTTTTCTTGATAATTATTACAGTCTTCGCGTTACACAATCATGCAATTTGTTGTTTCTTAAAATATTATTACATGTTACACTGTAACACATTAATGATACAATACTATTTTATTGGATAGTATCGAATCATTGAGAATTTTAACAGAATGTGAAAAATACTATTTGAAAATAATTCTATTTTTATAATTAATATAAATCAAAATGTATTTTACAAGCATAAACATTGTATGTCAATTATTGAAAATTTTGTGTCACTTCAAATTCGTTCTTTATATCATTATAGTACAACATAATTTAATTCGTTATATATACTCGTATATAAATCTATATTGATTTCTTAATTTTGATTTTGATTAAACAAATAAATTCGTGTTTTATTATACAAGAGATAGAAAGAGAGTTAAAGAAAGATAAAAAGAAAACAAAATTATTTTGTAACATAAAATTATAATGTGCTTCAAATATATTATTATAATGGAGGAACAATTTATTTTTAAGGAGATAATTATATATATCTACAAGTGCTTATTTGTAACAAATAAACTTTTCTTTCATTTCTTTTTTTTTCTTTCTTTTTTTTGTTATTGTAATTTTATATACGTATTAAGAAAATTTATAGTAATCCGGCATATCTTTGAGAAGTCGTCGTCGTCGTCGTCAAAAAATATTCTGTACATATAAGTGGATTTAATATGAAGTGAACGATGTTGGAAGAACTTTGTTTTCTTTTTTTTTTTTTTTGCAAAAAGAAGTTTCACATTTCTTACAAACAAACGAAGAAAAGAAACTTTATACATTTATATATAGTAGATTCATATACAGGGTGAGTCACGGAACGTAACGTTTCAAAATAAATCATAAAATACATGTAAAATGTGTACAAAGTACATTTTTCATACACATTACATTGTATGAAAAAAATGTTACCTAAGTAATTAAACTAAATTAAAGGGGTAAATGTAAATCCAGAAAAAACTTAGGCATTCCATTTAACAAGATAAGCATCATGACTGTAATATTTCATTAAAAAAAGTATCTTAAAAAAAAGTTTTGTTTATCATTACATTTGCCCCCCCCTCCCTCCGCCACTCCCCAATTTAGTTTAATTATGTAGAAAACAATTTTTCATGCAATGTATGTATTACGAGTTATTTTAAAATGTCACGTTCCGCTACTCAACCTGTATATATATACAAATAGAAATAAAAGATAGATATAATGTAATAATAACTCGTAATAAATTAATTTCGAAAATTTACCCGATCACTATAAATAATCTTTATATATGAATGAAATTCATAAGTGTGTCAATAATTATGAAAGTAATCTAAGTCACAATTTAGTTATTTCACACAGCACATTATTTTAAACTAAATAGAATCTCGAAAAAAAACAAGAGATACATGACTTAGACCACTTTTATAATTATGGGCATAAATAAGAATAGTCATAAAACTATTACAAAAAAAAAAAAAAAAAAATAAAAAATAAAATAATTGAAGTGAAAACCACAGTGTAACACACTTTTTTTTTTTAATAAACAATACTTTTTAACGCAGCAATAAAATTATCGTTTAAAGTTTCATTTGTGTTTTTGTTCGCGTGCATTATTTGATATTAACAATTATTCATCGAAAGTGTAAAGTTTGTAGTATCTAATTTATAAATTTTTTCTTTTCTTTTTGGTCTTTTTTTTTTGTTTTTTCTTATCAATGAATCATCATCAGTACATTTCCTTTTATATTGCAGATTTATATAGGAGAATAATGATCGGCAATTATTATTAATAATATTATATTCTATTTGTGTAATATTTTTTTGGAAAATAAAGTCAATATACGAATCCTCTTTCTATCACAATCGACGAAGCCCAGCATAAAATGATTATACATTTGTACCGTATAAAACTCATCAAATGATAATCAAAAAAAGTTCTTACATGGTCATGCTTCATCAAATATTAGACTAATGCATAGAAAATAAGTCACCAGCTGAAGGAAGTGGAGCAAGGCCTCCTGTTACGTCCGGTAATTGCGTCAAATCTGGTAAATTAGAAATATGGGATTTCACTTCGGATCTAACAGCACATACTTTCTTTAATTTTTCTTTATAATCCTAAAAAAAAAAAAACAAATCGAATATATTAAGAAGAACGTTTCTTTTTCTTCACAAATATTCATACTTTAAATATTAATATTTATAATTAAAATAGATATCATACCTCTAGTGTTGTTTGTGCCTGCTGAAGTAATTGTCTTTGCGCTAATGTGTAATCTCTAAGCATAGTTAACAATCTTCTTCTATCTTCCATTTCAGCTTGCAATCTTCCATTATAATCAGCTAATAATGCTGCTGCTTCATTAACTGCTATGCTTAATTGATCAGCCGCTGATCTATCAGCGAGATTTGCCAGAAGCGACACTTCTGATACTTCTGGTGGTAAGGATGCAATACGTTCTCTTACACCAGCATCAGACGATGCTGTATTTTCTAAATCCTGAAATATAGAAGGCCTTTTATTAGTATATTTGCCTTCCGAGTATTTACTTTTGGAAGTGTATCCACGTAATATAAATTATATTCAACTAAAATTAATAATTTTTTGTGTGTAGATATACATATGTAAAAAAAAAAATATATATGTATATATATATATATAAATGTACGTAAATAAGATATTCACACATGTTTTATATTCATGATCAAGCAAATGAAATGTTCATTTGTACATAATAGAATATAAATTATTTCTATATCGAAATATAAGGTTTGAGGGAACAATAAAAAAATAATTTAAAAAAAAACAAACAAACAAAAAATAATTAAAAAAAAAAAACAAAGAATAAAATAGGTAAATTATATATCCAGGAACTCGTACAATTATTTGTCATTGGATTTTGGATGTATTTAATAATGTGAATAAGAGTATCACATTAAGAGAGAATATGAAAATGAATGCATGCATTTAATGTATCTTATGGACTCAACATGTATTTTTCTATGAATATAATAGTTTATTAGCTGTGATACATAGTCCGCACGATTATTATTTCTTTTTTGAAAATTAACATTAACCATTAAAGCTTTGATTAGTTCCTCCGTTTCTGGTGGATCACCAGCCGGCGTACGCGGACTTAAGGTTACGTGAAGTTCTTTGGTACCGTCCACTTCGACTTCAGTCTCGGATTTTTTCCTCTCCTTTTTTTCTTTCTGAAATAAAATGTAAGAAAAATTAATATATAAAATTATAATACAATGATAGAAAAAACAAATCAATTAATATTTTTTACCTTTTCTACTTCAACTTTTGTTTTCTTTTTAGGTGGCGGAGTTCCTGGTTCTTTAACGGTGTCTAAGAAAGCCGCTTTAAACTCTGCTATTTGCACTTTATCATAAACACCTCTCTCTTCCCATATTTGTAACAGCCTATTTAATCTTTCCCTGGTTTTTTCATCAAATCCTTTCATATGTTCAAACGCTTTGGGCAATACTGTTTCAAATTCTTTGCCAAATTCAGGACCTTTCTTTTTACTATTCTGGATAACATCATTTGCCAAATACATAAACATTAACTTACGATTGTCCTTCACTGGAAAGATGTAGAAGTTGTTTTTCTTTAATATTTTAGGATACCAAAAGAAAGAGAAATACTATTAGAAGAGTCAATATTGTTTTTTTGTTTTTTTTTTTATTTATATAATTTTATTTATATTTTTATATATACAATAAAAATTTTACCATTATAATATTACAATTAAATAGAGTAAAATATATTTTTCAAATTAAAAATAATCATTTTAAACGATATGTACGTATTTTACAACATTTTTTGGTCGATCTTAAAAAAAAAAAAAAAACAAATAATATCATTTATTACAAATCTCTCTTTACATAATTAATTTTGTATAATTACACGAAATCAATTATACACCTGATAATCGAAACAATAATAAAAGAAAAAAAAATTACAAATAACATTTAACACAAAAAGAATGTTTAAACAACATTATTTGACGATTACGCGTCGTAAAAAATGACAAAAAAGTGCATTTTATTTTCTAACCTAAAAATAATTGATCAAGTAGGATCGATCTTTGATACCATTCGATGAATATATTATTTGTTTAAACAACATATTTATGTTACATTTAACTGCAATTTTAAACGCATTGTGTTGATAACTAATAGAGAGGGAGGAAAGGGAGGGGGGAAAAAGAAAAAACCTAACGGTAACATACCTTTGCACATCTCTCTGAACCAGACTTTTACGATCGTAGGATGATGTTTTCTGTGATGTATTAACCAGAGAGAAAGTGTTTGGATGCTTTGTTGTGATGGATTTAAATCCATAAGTCTCTTAACAAGAGCACTTTCTGTAAAACCTGTCATCTTTTTTTAGATGACAATATCGTTAACCAACAATTAAACAAAACTTCGTCTTCTTTTAAACTGACCTCGTGTATGCATCTATTCCTTTACCGAAAAACGAGTGACGAATACTACTACTACTCTTTGCTTCTTTTTCTTCTTCCTCTTATTCTTATTTTAATAGCCTTGAAGATAGCAGCGCTTCCACTTTTTTCGATTCTAACTAGATGACACTGTTTAACGATTAAAACTAGTCACCAATTTGTCACTAGTAATATTTCAAATAATTCGTAATGACCAATAAATGTTTTGTTAGATTATTCAAATTTGATAAAAATAGTGTTAAAAATTAAATTCATAAAGTTGATATATAATTTTGCATTTTAATGATAAAATGTTGGTATCCATGATATCCCTATATATCAGCTGTTATGTGCGTGACGTCGGTTAAATAGTTTTCGTTTTTGTTAGGTTAGTCGAATGAGTTGTCAAGATAATATCGGTAATTTACCTCGTATACTTTTTCATCTTTCTGATGTAATGATCTATGTTATTTACGTAATGATTTAAAAATTGATAGTCGAATAGATGATATAAAAGTTCTACGGATCTCGATACTGAGATCAATTAAGTTTAAAGAAGCATATTATCATGACGTGGCTTGGTACAATCGCTAATAACGTCCTGCGTAACATTGTTTTTACGGCACCTCCGCCTAACATAGTTTTAACTGTCAAACCGGATCAATATAGTAATCGGCTTATTCTTTGTCGAGAGGATGGTATTGTCCTGTATGGACCTGGGGAAAAAGAATCTAGCCATAAATATGAGATTATCCTTCATAGACCCTGCACAGAAACCTTGGATCAAGCTTACAGGTATATTATTATTATTATTATTATTATTATTATTATTATTATTATGATCATTATTTTTAATTTATATTTTTACTTTTTTTTACTAATTTAATATTCTTATTTTTTCTAATAGCTTGTATCGATCGGATGAAGTGGAAGACAGCGAAATGCGTTTCTTGATATTCAAAGATAAAGTTCCTGTTTTGGTTCAAATATCACGAGAGGTATTTATTGTTAGATTTATGAGGGTGGATTGAAAAGTTTTGAGTCTCAAAAATAAAAAAAAAGAATATTTATTTAAAAGATTATATGTACACATATCTTTTCATTCAAAATTTTTAAATTCATCCACGTATTACGTGTATATTTTTGTTTAGATACTTCCAATTTTATTTTATTAGTAGATTATGTTAACAGTTTTTTTTCCATTTCTTTCTTTGTTTGTTTTTTTTTCATTTCATTTATTTATTCATTATTAATTGAATGTACTGAGCAGTGTGCTAAAATCAGTGACATATATTTTGTACTTATATTATAATATTTATATTGAAAATTGATTATTTTTTATGTTATTCCAATTGAAAAATCAACAATCTATATGAAATAATTTTCTTTTTAAAAAAAGATGTCCAGCGTGAGCAAGATACAAAAATTATGCGACACCTTAGTAGAACATCCAACGTGGACATTGGCACATCTAGCAGCTCATTTTGCTCTACACGAAGCGTTTAAAAATACGTTGGTAAATAGTCAATTGAATAGCAGCTGTTTAGAAACTGGGATATCACCGTTGCAGGTAGCAGTACAGACTAAAAATTTATATACTGTACAAATGCTCAAGGCTGCTAATAGTTCGTTGGAACATACGGATAAACGTGGGAACACGGTTTATCATTTTGCAGCAACTTCAACTAAAGATATTATTTTAACCATTAAAGGCTTACCAAATAGTTTAAATAGTCGAAACGACGATGGTTATACGCCATTACATATTGCTTGTATGAACGATGAACCAGAATGCGTAAAAGCTCTTTTATTAATCGGAGCTGATGTTAATATTCCACCATTAGATGGACAATCTTCTAATCCAGGATACGTAGGAGATTTCTTACACAGTAAACCTAATGTACTTCATTCGGAAGACATGAGATTTGGTGGTACACCTTTGCATTGGTCTTACAGTAGACCTGTTATAAATGCATTAATTGAGCACCACGTGGATATAGATGCTGTTAATTTTCAAGGACGTACAGCTTTACACGTTATGGTCGTAAGAAAACGTTTGGATTGCGTAGTGGCTTTATTGAGTCACATGGCTTGTGTTAATAAAGTTGATCAGGATGGTAATACTCCATTGCATTTGGCAGTAAAATCAGGTAACGTAGCTTTGGTTCAAGTTCTTATTGGCTTTGGAGCTGATATAAATGCAGAAAATTGGAATTCCGAGACACCAAGACATTTGGTTAATCTGAGCGATGACAGAATACTTTATACCTTGCACGCTGTTGGTGCCCAACGTTGTCCACCTAATATGAAGGATTGTAAAAGTAGCTGTAAATACAATGAAAATTACAATGGTATTATACCACCTGAATTACAAAGATCTGTCCCACGTACTATCTTGGATCAAATGTTACATGTATCTGGTATGGAAACAATGGCATCGTTAAGAAAAAGGCAGATAAAAGGTGGAAGATTATTATGTCTCGATGGTGGTGGAATTCGTGGATTGGTATTGATTCAAATGTTGTTGGAAATAGAATCGATCTTGAAGAAACCAGTAATAGAATGTTTCGATTGGGTTGCTGGTACATCGACCGGTGGAATCCTAGCACTTGGCTTGGCATCAGGAAAATCATTGAGAGAATGTCAAGCTTTGTATTTCCGTATTAAGGAAGATGCTTTTGTCGGTTTTAGACCATACAACAGTGAAGGTTTAGAAAATATATTAAAAGATTGTTTAGGTCCGGAAACGGTAATGGCCGATATAGAAAAGCCTAAATTAATGATAACAGGTGTATTAGCCGATCGGAAACCAGTAGATCTGCATCTTTTCCGTAATTACGAGTCACCGAGCGAATTATTAGACGTTCCGGTATATACTCAATTCAAAGAAACGTTAGCGCCCGGAGAACAATTACTTTGGAAAGCTGCACGTGCTACAGGAGCAGCACCATCTTATTTCAGAGCTTTTGGAAGATTTTTAGACGGCGGTCTTATAGCTAATAATCCAACATTGGATGCAATGACCGAAATACACGAATATAATTTAGCATTAAAAGCTGTTAGACGCGAATCCGAAGCTGTACCACTCTCGATGGTAGTTTCATTAGGTACTGGATTAATACCCGTCGAACCATTAACCGCAATAGATGTATTTAGACCGGAAGGTCTTTGGGATACAGCTAAAGTTGCCATGGGTATTAATACTTTAGGATCTTTATTAGTTGACCAAGCCACAGCTAGCGATGGAAGAGTTGTAGATCGTGCTAGAACCTGGTGTTCTATGATAGGCGTACCGTATTACAGATTTAGCCCACAATTGACCTCGGAAGTAGCCATGGATGAAAAGAAAGATGAAGTACTGGCAGAAATGATATGGACTGCTAAAGCCTTTATGCATGCTAATAGAGATCAAGTTCAGGAATTAGCTGCTGTGATAAAACAAGACGTGTAGTATGTGTGCCATCTATATATATATATTTAAGTCTCGAAGCCGCTTTTTAGTGTTGTAGATATTAGATTAGTCAATAAGTTTGTACGATTTTTGTCCTGTTATTTACATGGAACAAATCGCGCTGACTTATCGGTCAATCTTTTGATTAACTGTTATAATATATATATATATATATATACAATGTATATATACACATACACACGTGCGGTGATATTATTACTGATATTAATATATTCAGAGAATTTATTTATTTTTCGTGTCAGTTGCACACATTAGATACCTGATCCAATTGATATAGTTTATTTTGAATAATAAGTTCTATTAAATAATCAGAGATCTGTTTAAATATATCTCGTAGATGTACATTTACGATCTTTGAAAAATGTAGTTTGTTCTAATTGTAAGTAGATAGAGTCTTCTTAATATTTGTTTTTTTTTTTTCTTTTGTTGAATTTTTTTTTAACGCACATTTACTTGTTTGCACGATACAACGATTTAACAGGACATATATTATATTGTAATTTTTTTTTCTCATTTTTTATACGAATAGTTTAATTTTTATATTAATACCTTTTTTTTTGTATCCCCGTTATAGTAATTTTGAAAGATTCGTAAACGCGTGTTAAAGGAACTTGTAAAAGTAATAAAATTACTTAGATGATATATTTATGATTCTCATATTTTATTGGAAATCTTTGCGGAGAAAATATATATATAATATATTTAACAAAAAATAGAATAATAATAATAATAATAATAATAATAATAATAATAATAATAATAATAAAAGAAAAAAGAAATAGAGAAACGAATTAATTAGAAAGCCCAAAGAAAAGGGACTGGTAAATTTATTTTTTTGTTCAAACTGTTTTTTTTTTCCATCTCCTATCTTTTCTCCTTTTATATCACGAATTTATCATATACCGATTATAATAATTTTAATCATAATAATAATAACAATAATTAGCTGTCTCGATGATCCGAAGGTTCCCAAATAATAAAAAATAAAATGAAGGACTAGAACGAACACGTAAAATGAATAACTGTTGATCTCGATGTATAAAGAATATTATCAAAAAAAAAAAAAAAAAGATAAAATAATTTACCTTTCATTATAGTATAAATCATGATGAAATTAATATTCTAATAATAAATCTAATTATATATATATATATATCGTAAAAAGAAACCTTGGATTATCAAGGCTATAAATTACAAATTTCTAATAACTAATTTATTAATTTTGCAATCACATAAAATAAATCACTTGTTTCTTATTCTTCTTCTTATAGTTTATTTTTTCATTTTTTTTTTCATGGGGATTTTAATGGAGATTATAAAGAAATTCTCAGAAACCCACAGTTTTTATTAGATGTAGCAATTAATTCAGTGCCTTTTTAAATAAATTTAATATTTATTTATAAAATAATCATATATATTTTTGTGTTATTCTTTGAAATAGTTTTTTTTTATTATTTTTAACAAAGGTCTGTCCATCTTTTAGGCAATTGTTGAATTCCTTGAAAAAATGATGGTCATTTTGATGCAATTTAATATCAAGGTACTTAATTAAATTGTTACACCTAATACTTTGGTTTCAACGAAGAAGAAAATAACAAATAATAGGTCGAGTTCCTAAAATATCTATCGTGGACCCATATAATAAGGAGCCTGAGACATGGTCGCTGATATGTAAGGATAAAAAGTATGCGCAGGCATAGTTTGAGTTTGATAATCATTTTCTTCTTGCATTGTATAAGCTTCTGGTGTTGGATAATATTGTCCATGTATACAAGCATAAGATTTACCATTTGTGGTCATCATGTCACTTTGATATTTCAAACTTTCCGTGTAACTTTTGGCATCGGGATACTTCGGTAAATCGTAAGGTTTACTTATTTGCGATTCGGAATATTTTGGAATAGATTCCGCGTGATATTTGCTCGTTGCAATTTCGTGACATTTGCTTGGAGAAACTTGATGATACTTCATCGTTTCGTGACACTTCATTTCGGTATAATTTTTCATATTAACGTCATATTTGTTTGACGAATCTAAGGATGAAGTTTTATTGGTTGGATGATGATCCATTGGATATTTAATCGTTTCGTTTATACTCCAGGAAGCTCTGGATAAATCGTAAGTACTTTTGGTATCTTGATAAGTCGGTCTTTCGTAAATCTTTGCTTCGGTATCGGGATAAAGACGAGAGTAATTACAATCCGAAGTAACTGGACCTGTTTCTAATGGTGTTATGGTTGTTGTTAATCCACGATGTATCGAATCCCGATTACCGAATACTTGATCTTCCGATTTTGGTTTTCTACGTCGTGGCTGATACTACAATCACAATTTATTTTATTAATACAAAAGTTAATTATAAATTTTTAATATTAAAATTAATTTGATTCATTTAAGAACCTTGTAATGTGGATGTTGTTTTTTATGGGCATTCCTAAGTCTTTCAGCTTCCTCGATGAACGGTTGTTTCTCACCGTCGCTTAAAATTCTATACAAATAATAAATAATACCGTTTATTGTTTTATTTAATAATCATTTATCTTAGAAATAATTACCTCCACAATTTTCCCAATGTTTTTGATAATTCAGCATTATGCAATTGAGGATACTGATCGGCTAATCTTCGTCTTGCTGCTTGTGCCCAAACCATAAACGCGTTCATCGGTCGTTTTACATGAGCGTTTCTTCGATTTCCAGCTCGGGAAGTAACTGGAAGTAACGTCCAGTCGTATCCTAAACAAAAATGATGTTATTTTTTATTTAAATCATTATAAAAAATAATAAAAATTATTTATTCATGATTTATCCGTATAAATATCGCGCCTGAAAGTAGGCAACACTTTATACTTATTTGTAATTACAGTTGATGTATCGTGTGTCGGTAAGATAACAAAATTTTCTATTGCACCTATGATGAAAGAGTTGCATACCACACAGGGGCTTCCCAAAATTGTTTGACCGATAGATGGCATTAGTTATTGCAATTACCGACTGTGTAAAAAGTGTTGCCTATCTACAGGCGTGTATAGAATATTACAAATGGATTTTTATCGAAGATATATTTTATAGAATTTCAAAATGATTTCAAACAAAACTTTTTCCATTAATTTTTAATCATATTGTTTTTATTTTTCATGAGATATAGAAAAGAAACACACGGAAAAAGAAGAAATCTTTTGCAGGAAAAGGAAGTTGAACAGAGGCAGAAGCTTTGCTTAGTTCTGTAAATATAAAGGTGGACCGGAAGCTCGTTCCCTCTTCTTGTCACCTGCGGAATTAGATTGTAAATGAGGTAAAAAAAAAAAAAAGAAAAGAAAAGGAAGATAAAAATATATATCTTCTCTCTTGGTATTTCTGTTTAATGTAAAAAGTAAAAAAAAAGAAAAAAAATATGAACATTTATGATATATTTCATTTCATTCATATTTTTCTAGTTGTGTTCATCTTTATATAACAATTACCCCATATATATCTTTGACGTCGGAAATGCGATAGCAGTTTTATGTCTCTCAAAAGTTTAACTTGTGAGTATAGTCGAGCATGGTGGTCTTTATCGGTTCTTATCATAATAATTGTTATTATTATAATTATTATTACTTGCATTGAGACTTTTCAATCTAACGATAAATTCGTATTGGTCGTTTTGTTTAAAATTTGGCTATCAAAAAGTACTTCGAGTACTCTTTATTTTGTAATTCGTACGATAATCATTTGACTCTCGTTTTTTGTTTTGTATGCAAATAAGTATGGTTTTATAAGATTAGATATAATTTTTTGAAACACGTAGTACGTTAAAGATACAGATAGGGTAGGGTAGGTACCATCCTCATTAAACAAACTTCACTCTTTCGACGATATCTTCCTCTTTTCGTCGTGGGAAATGAACATTTCAACTAATGTAACGAACGCATGCCATAAAACTAACTCTCTCTCTCTCTCTCTCTCTCTTTCGTCTCTCCTTCCGAAATTCGTTCTTCCACGTAGAGTAATATAAATCTTTGCCTTTCGTTTTCTACGTCGCTTTAATTTCCGTTCTTTATATTCTTGTGTGCCTAGCATGGAAATCGTTAAGACTTAAACGTTGAAAAAAGAGAGGAAACCGAAAAAAAGAAATAAAAAAAAGAACCATTAGAAAGTTAGAATTAAATTACTCAAATTTGTTGCATACACCTACTTTCAAAAAAAAAAAACAAAAAAAATTGATTATACACGTACACGTGCGTACACACATTTTTAAATGAATCCAAGTTAATGTGTGAATAGTTTTGTTTCTATTATCATAAATTCGTAGAGAACCATTAAAAATATATATATATATATGTAATAAATGAAAAATGTTTAAAAGAAAATATGAAGAAGGAAATAATAATATATATACACGTGGTAGATCGTCACCAGGGGCGTAGACATTTTGTAGAAGCAGTGGGAGCTAATTACGGTAAGGTTACGGTCCACCGATGGCGGTTCTTCTGTCGGCTCCTTTCAACGCCTGCTGGAGGTCCTTCCTTACAAACGGGATATCGTTCCCCTAAAACTCGTCACGAATATCCACCGAGAATATTTTACAAGGAAATGCGGAAGGGGTTCGCACCCCGAAAGCGACAGGAATAGAAAAACTTTCGGGCGAAGTTTTCAATGGTGCATCACGTACCTTTTCTAATCCTATCTTTCTTATACTCGTTCATATAATTTTTTTTTTTTTTTTGATTTTTTAAATATGAAAACATATATTTAACATTATTAATTTATATATTCTTGATCAAAAATTTTCAGGTGAGTTACTTATACTTTGGAGTTCAGGTAATTAGGTTTATAATCTGAAGAATTAGGTTTATTGGTTTATAATTTAAATAAGAAAAATGATGCTTGTTTGTAAAAAGGAATAATTAATTTTTATAATCAACTATCAATTTTTGGCAAACCTAGAATTATTGTTCGTTCGTTTCAAATTTGAATGAAAAATTGTAATTGACATTTCACGTAATTAAATAATAAATTATATTAATTACTATAGTAATATTGGTGAATATTTTACTTTACTTTGTAGTCCAGGTTATTAGGTTTGTAATTTAAAGAATTAAGTTTATTGTTTTATAATTTAAAAAAACAAAAATGATACTTGTTGGGAAAAAGGAATAATTAATTTTGATAATCAACTATCAATTTTTGGCAAACTTAGAATTATTGTTCGTATGTTTTAAAATTTGAATGAAAAATTGTAATTCACATTTTACGTAATTAAATAATAAATAATATTAATTACTATTGTAATATATTGGTGAATATGATTGATCATAGGATTAAGATAAGATAGATAACATGTAATGTTTTATAATAGAAGAGTAAAAGAGTAAAAGTGTGTGTTGGTAGAAAACGATCAGCTTGCTTTTCTCTGTTAGCTTCTAGTCGTTCTATAATAGGGGGGTTGTATGTTCCTGAATGGACCGGTGTGTGTTGAGTATCCCGATCATCAATGGCGAGCTGTCGTCGGTTCTTGCTACATTAACTCCTTTACAAATCCCCTTCTTACTGATTCCCATCGTTAACGAGACCTCCTTAAATGCTTCGACACCTCGTCTAGACGAGAAATGTTTCTTGACATTGGCATTCGAACAAACCCTGACATCAAATTTTACTTTGAACTAAATCTTACTATTGTATTCGATGATTAATTTAATTATCATAATTAACAAACGATCGTTTTAATTGTTTTTGGTTTTTTTTTTTTTTTATTTAAATTACAATGGAATATAGGTTTATTTTAAAAATTTATAATCAAAGATATTATATTATGAGTTTGATTGAAAATATTAAAATTTATTTTTGAAATTGCATGCTATTTAATTAAGATTAAATTTGTGTTTTTTTTAATTAAAATTAATTTCTCTTTTTTGTTGTTGTGTGATATAATTAATAGTATATTTGATTAGTTTAATAATCAAAGTTATATGATTTTATTGTCAAAGTTAGTAATATATTAAAATTATTATATAATATTAATATATAATAAATATTTATATCTAATAAATAATATATAATATATATATATATAATAATATATAAATATAATAAATAATTTATATATAATATTATATAAAATTATTATTTCATATTAAAAATATTAAAATTTACTTCGTAATGTCATAGTAATAAAAATTTGATTTCACATTTCAATTTTTTATGAAAACAAAACTTTATTTAATTAATAATTAATAATTGAAGCACAGAGTAGATTCTTATTAAAATTGACCTAATTAAATATTAAAATAAACATTTTAAAGAATCTATATATCTATCGAGTTATTATAAGTTATTCGATAAATATTTCGAATATTTTCAATTTGCAAAATTCAATCATCAACATTTACTTGTTACGAAGTAACAATCGAACCAATATACTTTGTATAATATTCTTTTATCAAGATTTGGATGCCTAACTAAATATTTAAATTGTACAAACTTAATCGATTCTTGTTCTCCAACCGGACATTTCGTATAAACTATCGAATTTATTGATTGGTGGTGGTTACCATCCCTAATGTGCGTGGGATCATTTATATGAAATTCAATGGATGATTTTAAATCGTTTGAATTAAAATAAAAATAAGAAATAAAATAAAATTGGACGAAAAAAAAATTGAAATAAAAATCATGGAACAATTCTCAGATGTTTTTTTTCTTTTTTTTTTTAAATGATTATGCATAGTAATAATTTATATTACTGTATAAGATATTATTACAGAAAACGTATGAGAATGAGAATGAGAATGAAAGAGAGAGAAAGAAAGAAAGATGGCCGACAATAAATCATGTTCTCCTCTCACATACTCATCCTCAACCTCTTAGCCCTCCCTCCTCGATATGTCAGATTAAATTTGGTACTCGCATAATTAGTGGCGACGGTTTCGCTTCGTTCGCAGCACCTGTCGTTCGAAATCTACCCTCTTCCTCTCCCCCTACCTACTTCTACTATTTTACTACCACTATAAAACGCATTACAAACCAGGATGGAGAAATTTTAAGCAGAGAAGAGCCAAGAGAAGAAGAAGAAGAAGAAGAAGAGCGATGGCCGACGACGGGGTCGAGCTTTCGGCACCAATTAAATTTCAAATGAAAAATATCGTCACGAGAAT